CCGGCCAAGCATCCACAATCAACGGACCCCTCCAGAAGTGAGCAATTTCATGCTTCACCAGAAAAAAAGAAGGCTGCAAAGGAACAAAACAACTACCAGGACCAAACAAACAGAACCCTGACAAGCTGAAAGAGACTGAGCCGCAGAGAAATGCCAGGGTTCAGACATCAACCAACCAGTGCCTGAAACCAACTCTGGGCCAGCTACCATAGAGTCACTCACCTCTGATATGAATCCAGCCAAGCCAGAACCCAGAGCAATAGATGGGCTGGGGAAAAGAGGTACAGGAACCCCCACCTCGATAAGTCCTACTGAAAAGCGTCTACCGCGAGGGCCTCGCAGTCGGGAAACAGTGCCACATTCAAGTAGAGATGCCAAAACCACGCCAAAGTGAAGAGGTCCAACTCCGGGCGCCTGTACACCTGATAAAACCAAAGGAATTAGGCAACATTGACCATCCATTCTGTGGAAAGAGGAATGAAGAGCGACAGGCCCTCTGCCAAGACGTTGGCCAGACCCTGAATATGAATGACGTGCAGAGCTAAACCCCCAAGAACTTAGCAGAAGAGCTACCGGAAGCAACCAGCCCCAAAGTCACAGACCGAAGAGACCCATCCCTTCCTATGAGACAATGAACCACAGAGGAGCAGTCTGAATGGAGCCAGATCACCAGATAAGCAGACTGGCAGGGAGCTCACACCAACTTGTCATTGAGGCAGGCTGCCAGCCAGGAAGACACCAGAACCAAACTCAAACGCACCCGATGAGTGTCAGAGGAACCAAACTCAAACGCACCCGATGAGTGTCAGAGGAACCAAACTCAAACAAAACCAGATCCAACACAGAGGCACAAACTGGGGCTCGAAGGTGGTATGTGCAAGAGCTTTCGGAACCTCTGCAGGAGAAAGCCGAGAGGTAGAAAACCTCAGGAAAGACAAATCTGAGGAGCCCAAGGGCACCCAGAAACAAAACCAAAGGGGGCTGGGGCAACTTACCGCATTTGTTGGCAGATAAGATACACAATGGTAGTACAGTACTGTAATTGAAAAAAAATAAAATAAAATAAAAATATGCCCCACAGCTAAGTGGGCCATAATAAGGTCCAAGATACCAGGTGCCAGAGGCTAGGAAGCTAGACGAGCATACAGATACCTGCTTGATGAGGTTCTGGGAGTTCTTCTACTCTCCAAGCCCGGCCTGAGGCCTGACTTGTGAGAGTTTGGTCCACCAGGCTGTTACTTTGAGCGGCCTGCAGGCCCACATACCCACCACATCCCGGTTGGTCTGGAACTTCTTTTAGAAAACAAGTCTAGTTTTCTCTTGAAGATGTCCACAGTTATTGCGGCAATATTTCTTACAGTCGCTGGGAGGACGTTGAACAACTGCGGACCTTTGATGTTTATAGTGTTTTCTGATTGTGCCTATGGCATCTCTGCTCTTCACTGGTTCTATTCTGCATTTTCTTCCTTATCATTCACTCTAGTATGTTGTTATTTTACTGTTTAGATTTGGTACTTGGCCCTCCAGTATTTTCCACGTGTATATTATTTGATATCTCTTTCGTCTCCTTTCTAGTGAGTACATTTGGAGAGCTTTGAGACGATCCCAATAATTTAGGTGCTTTATCGTGTCTATGCGTGCCGTATGTGTTTTTTGTATTCCCTGTATTTCAGCAACCTTTCCTGCTCTGAAGGGGTAAGCGAGTACTGAGTAGTACTCGAGATGGGACAACACAAGTGACTTGAAGAGTACAGTACAACCATTGTGATGGGATCCCTTGATTTGAAAGTTCTCGTAATCCATCCTATCATTTTCTGGCCAACGCAATATTTGCTTGGTTATGCTTCCTAAACGTTAGATTGTCGTATATCATTATTCTCAAATCCTTGACATGCTGTTTTCCTACTATGGGCAGATTCGATTTTGTTTTGTACCCTGTATTATGTTTCAGATCCTCATTTTTGCTGTACCTGAGTACCTGAAATTTATCACTGTTAAACATGTTATTTTCTGCTGTCCAATCGTAAACTTTGTTGATTTCTGCTTATAATTTTTCAATGTCTTCAGCAGAGGTAATTTTCATGCTGATTTTTGTGTCATTTGCAAAGAATGGCACGAAGCTGTGACTTGTATTTTTATCTGTATCTGATATGAGAATAAGGAACAACAGTGGTGCAAGGACGGTACCTTGAGGTACAGAGCTTTTAACTGCGCTTGGACTATTTTATTTGATTGACTGTTACTCGTGTTCTGTTCGACAGGAAGTTGAGTATCCAGCGTCGTACTTTACCAGTTATTCCTATTAACCTCATTTTGAGTACTATCACTCCATGGTGCCATTTGTTGAATGCCTTTGCAAAGTCTGTGTATACAACATCTGCATTTTGCTTTTCTTCTAGAGCTTCTGTGATTTTGTCATAGTGGTTGAATAACTGTGACAGACAGGATCTGCCCACTCTAAATCCATGTTGTCCTGGGTTGTGTAGCTCATTATTTAAAAAAAAAACTAATAGTTTGATTCCTAATCACTCTTTCAAAAACTTTCATTATGTGTGATGTTAGTGCAACTGGTCTATAATTTTTTGCCAAGGCTTTACTACCCCCTTGTGCAGAGGAGCTATATCTGCAGATTTAAGTGCAGCTGGTATCTCCCCTGTATCCAGGCTCTTTCTACATATTACGCCGAGTGCTCACACTACTGGTACTTTACATTTCTCTATGAATATTGAATTCCATGAGTCAGGCCCAGGAGCTGAGTGCCTGGGCATATTGTCAATTTCTCTTTCAATGTCTTCCAAGCTCGTGTTAATATCTGTTATATTTTCTGCAGCTTGAATGTCATTCATTCAGAGCAAGGTCGCTAGGTACAAAATCAGTGCCCATAATAAAATAATGAAATCAAGACAAGGACCACAGTCTGTGAACACAAGACTGAGGTAATAATATACAGAAGTACTGTATCTCAGTCTCGTACACCAGACAAGACCGCCCCGGGAACACAAGACCGAGGTGGTAATATACAGAAGTACCCCACTCTCGTACACAAGACAAGACTGCCCTAGGAACACAAGACTGAGGTAATAATAAAGTACTCCAGTCTCATACACACGACAAGGCTGCCCTAGGAACACAAGACTGAGGTAATAATAAAGTACTCCAGTCTCATACACACGACAAGGCTGCCCTAGGAACACAAGACTGAGGTAATAATATACAGAAGCGGCAAGGTGTTGCTAACTGGTTAGACCCAAAAGCTAACACGGGGGATGATCAAACCACTGAAACCCCCTGCAACGTGTACAATTACAGGGACCTAGCACGGAGCCATCAAATTCATATAAGCAGTCCTACAGCCACACAAGGTAGACCCCCACCAGGCAAAGAAAACAAAACAAAAAACAAAAACCCGCAAAAGTACAACGTCCCCAGAGGAAATAGGAACTGGCTGCTGCATATGTAAGCTGGCTATGCAACACCTTGATGCCCCAACCAGCAGCAATACCACTCCCTACCCAAGGCCAAACAAGAGCCACGAGACCCCAGCTGGCCCTAAGGGCAGGGGTAAATGTTGAGCAGTAAGAAACCCCCTACAGAAATGGTGTCCCGAAGGCACAAGGGAAGAAAACCCTAGCACCTATGGGTAGTACTTACAGGGCACTTAGGTCAGGTAGCCTTAAGTTCATTGTCAACCTGATAATGAGGTTGGGTAGCTGGTGTGGAGGGTCTGGGGGGGCCCCAGACCTTCCGTGCCTGTTAATCCTGCAAAATACCCTATACCAGCCCTCCCTTTCCCCTTCCAGGGAGGGGAGGGCTGTCCGGACAAGTGGCACGAAGGCGGCGTGTGACATTTGCTTGTTTCCTTAGGAATTGGGGGAGTTCTGCCTCTCTCTTTTCAGTCTTCGGTTGCAATTTTCTTACCAAGTGGGGTGTGTTTTGTTATGCCTACCTTTCTGGGTGCCTAACCCCAGTCGATGACAAATAAGGAATTCCCCCAACTACTGGGGGGTTTCCAAGGGCCATTGCTCCCTGTGCCTCTCTGAGGGGGGGCCAGGCTCTGGCTCGTGGTCCGCGGTAGGCTGAACTCCATTGACTAATGCCCTAGTTTAATATATCACTTATTAGCCAGATAGCTCCAGGGAGCCGAAGGGGCTTCCCACAGAAATGGCTTTTATTTTAGACATATGTAAAGTGTTATCATACTGTAGTAGCATGAACCCAATGCACAAGAAAACAATTTAACCAGATGAAACAAGTCAACTTCATTTGGTCCTTGCCTGCCCAAGTGCTACAGGACTCGGTCAGAAAAAAATGTGAAGAGAATTGGATTCGTAAACATCATCCCGGAGATTTTCATGTACTGTATAATATCAATAAGTTAAATTGGCTATGAGAATAAGAGTAGGGTATGCACCAGCTATTCTTGATTTCAAATTTACCAGGAGAGAAGAGATATTTGACATTCAGTACCTTCCTCCACTGGGCAAGTGCAAACATGTGCTATTGGAAATCCAATACGCAATGCGTCATAATCCCGAGGAAAAGGGTGAAAATGAAACAGATGAAAAAAAATTACTTCAAGAGAGGAGACTATGGGGTATTTAGAATTTTTGTTAATGAATTTGATAGGAAAGATTTGTTAGGCAACAAAGTAAATGTGTTGTATGCGAAGTTTTGCAAGATATATATGATGAAAACACACAATTTTCATATTAAACATGCAAAACTACAAAACAAGATTGGTTCAAAGGAAATTACGAGGGGAGGCCTGAGAACAAGACAAAAAAAAAATGGAATTGATAAAAGATGAGGCAGGAGGCAAACCTGACAATGTAACTTCTCTTTTCTAGAGGGATGTTAACTATCTTTGGTGATATGAGGAAGAGTTAATAAGGTTACATTAAAATTTACTATACTCTCTACTTCTGAGGAACAGTGCAAAATTTACTTATATTTTCCATGTCCACAAAAAATAAAGTAAGCAAAGAACAAGATACACTAACCTGCACTGTCAACAATGGAACCAAAGGGGATATTCTTTCTCTTACATGAGCTAACACCATTTGCTCATTAGCATCACGACGAATTCTTACATGAAGGCTGCCAGTTAGTATGAACCCACTGGGATCTTTACATAGCTGTGATACTCTACAGCGTGGACTTTCCACACCCAGTGTCCAAAAAGTTTCATGACGAAATTCTAAAACTCCATCCAAGGTAAGTGCTTCACGTAAGCATTTATCCAGCTGAGCAAAAATGCTAACTGGGGTGGTCTGTAATGATAAGAAATGTATCATAAGGTAATCAATCACATAACTATCCATTTTCCATATCTTTCATGCATCACCCAAAGTACTGAATCAATTATTCAAAGATTTTAAAATAATAATTTGGTTTAAATGTAACCAATACTCCAGTAATGTGAATCCAAATTAAAAGCATTTCCTGTATTATATATACAGTGTGTCCTCGCTTGAATGAACTATATGGGACGAAGCCAATTCATTCTATTGAGGAATTCGTTACATCCGTCCTGCCCCTAACAACCCCCCCTTCTCCCCCAAAATTATATTAATACCACATTAATACATATGCCAGCACACATTTGCCTCATGAAAAACTTAAAGAATTTGTATTGTAATGAAATAAATTGTTATTGCGCTTTACAGTACTGTACTTACATTACCAGTCGAGTTGTGTAGTGCAGACTTTGTTAGCCTCAATACCCTGACAGTGCCACACGACATGAATAGTATAAATTCTTTAAAGAACAGTAACTTTTCTAACAAATGTACATTATCCACTATAGTGTGTACATAAAGTACAGACCACTAAAATCACACTACTGCAGTACACTTATATCACTTAAGCAACACTTTGTACATTTTGTCATTAGAACTGTGCTATGCAACTCAATTAGCACTCCCAGGTAGGTTCTGGCTAGTGCTGGCTGCTGGGCCTGTAGGCCTACTGTCAAACCGTACCAAAGACTTTTGAATCTTGGTTTGTTTATTCTTAATGAGCTTCTGCTTTAGAATATTTTTCAGGCCCTTTAGGTGTATATAATAACCTGCCAACTCTTCATCATCAGTTACAGCAATCATATCGAGCAGATTATCAACGTGTTGTAATGCAGTGGCATATGAAATAGGTAACACGGTATCATCTTTCTTTTTCACTTCCTCGTCAGCGTTACCAGTAACAGTCTGGATAATCTCATCATCAGATAATTCAACATAACCTGGATCATCAGCAACGAATTTCCTAATATTATCCTTCTGCTTTGTTATATCACAAACTGTAGCTTTACCAATGTTGAATTCTTGGGCCAGTCTAGTGACAGAGTATCCACGCTCTGCTTTCTCTATCAAGTCAATTTTCTGATCAATTGACAAATATTTTCTCTTTCGTTTTACACCTTCACTACCATGAATGCTGCTCTGTGCCATCTTGACAGATTGACTGAGTGCAAACAGTCAAAATTGGTCAAATTGATCAGGGATATGCTTGGCGGGCGAGCCCCACGTGTTGTTTATTTACACCAAGTGGCGGAGGAGGAGCACGTGGTGCCGGCCACGCCTTCACAACACCACTGACCGTCTTGTACACAGTCACACACACTCAACATTTAACCTCAATATTCACTCTTACAAATGGTTTTATTGAAAATATTATTGTTTTTTGTTATAATTAGTATATTGAGTTTGTTTGGAAGTTTTTATGCAATTTATACAGTACAATAGTGTATTAAAGCACATGGTTTATATTACGCCATGCGTGTTAGTAGATTTACAAGAATTTATTTATTTATTTATATACAAGAAGGTACATTGGGGTTAAGAAAGTACTTAATAATAATAATGATTTTACATTCTTGTAAAGCCACTAGCACGCATAGCATTTCAGGCAAAAATGTAAACACAAGAATGTAAATACATCAATGCTATGTACTCTCATAAATCCAATGTACCTTCTTTGAGTGTGTGTATATTATATATTATATTATAATATATATATATATATATATATATATATATATATATATATATATATATATATATATATATGTCGTACCTAGTAGCCAGAACTCACTTTTTGGCCTACTATTCAAGGCCCGATTTGCCTAATAAGCCAAGTTTTCATGAATTAATTGTTTTTCGACTACCTAACCTACCTAACCTAACCTAACCTAACTTTTTCGGCTACCTAACCAAACCTAACCTATAAAGATAGGTTGGGTTAGGTTAGGTAGGGTTGGTTAGGTTCGGTCATATATCTACGTTAATTTTAACTCCAATAAAAAAAAATTGACCTCATACATAATGAAATGGGTAGCTTTATCATTTCATAAGAAAAAAATTAGAAAAAATATATTAATTCAGGAAGACTTGGCTTATTAGGCAAATCGGGCCTTGAATAGTAGGCCAAAAAGTGAGTTCTGGCTACTAGGTACGACATATATATATATATATATATATATATATATATATATATATATATATATAAAATAATTACGTATAATGCACATTAGTTTTTATTATTAGGGGGCCGGACCACTGACACCACCAGTCTTCTGACACCATCCCCCACCACCAGCCATCTTTGACACCATCCCCCACCACTGACACTACTAGCCTTCTGACACCCTCCTCACAACTCAATGAGACAAATACGAAGCAAAATCAGAAATATTCAGGCACAGGCAGGAGTGGAGAGGAGAGATATAATGTATGAGAGAAGTCAAACCATGCAAAACTACATGTATGAGAGTCAAAACACCGCCCCATCCTTCTTCCTCCCACATCCTTTCCAAGCTCTTTGGACATCAAAGCTAAAGCTAAGCCCATTTCACTTATGGTAAAAGGAGAAATGCTTGGAGTGACTGTGTACATGCGGCTCAGGCTTGGGTACAAATATTACTGGGAATATGGGATAGATGTTCATGATAATGACACGAAGTGTAAACTATGTGGTATGTTAAGGTCTCACACCCTTGCCCATTATGTTCTTGATTGTCCGTTGATTAATGTATATAGAAACACTGAGATAAGGACTGTTCCTGAGCAAATAACCTGGATGTGTCACAAAGGAAAGGTTGATGATATTCTTGAGAGATATAAGAATTTTGCACCAAGACTGTAATTTTTTGTTGAATTATCTGCATGTCTCTTGCAAATTGTCTATACAGTATATCTAGGTCAAAAAAGTATTTGTGTGTACGTCTGATACCATACTACTTGTGAAGGAGGAAATGTGTATGTTTATCTCTCAGAATGTTTGGTAATATGTTTATTGTTTGTGATGTGTGTGTATGTATGTATTAACACGATGTACTGAACGGGGTGAGAATAGCTTGAGCTACCTCATCCCTTTGTGTGTATTTTACATCAATAAACTTATTTCAATTTCCCCACAACTGACACCATCCCCCACCACTGACACCACCAGACTTCTGACACCATCCCCCCACAACTGGCACCACCAGTCTTCTGACACCACCCCCCCCACCACTGACATCACCAGACTTCGCTGACACCATCCCCCACCACTGACACCATCCCCCATCACTGACACCACTAGTCTTCTGACACCATCCCCACCACCAGACTTCTGACACCATCCCCCACCACCAGTCATCTGACACCACCAGACTTCTGACATCATCCCCCACAACTGACACCACTGATCTTTTGACACCATCCACCACCACCAGTCATCTGACACCATCCCCCACCGCAGACCCCACCAGTCATCTGACACCATCCCCCACCGCTGACACCACCAGTCATCTGACACCATCCCCCACCGCTGACACCACCAGTCATCTGACACCATCCCTCCACCAGACTTCTCTGACACCATCCCCCCACCAGACTTCTCTGACACCATCCCCACCACTGACATCATCAGACTTCCAACACCATCCCCCACCACTGACACCACCAGACTTCTGACACCACCGATCTGACACCATCCCCCACTACCAGACTTTTCTGACACCATTCCCCACCACCAGACTTTTCTGACACCATCCCCCACCATCAGACATCTCTGACACTATCCCCACCACTGACACCACCAGCCTTCTGACACTATCCCCCATCACTGACATCACCAGTCTTCTAACACCATCCCACCACTGAAACCACCAGATTTCTCTGACACCATCCCCACCACCGACTCCTTCAGACTTCTGACACCATCCCCGACCACTGATACCACCAGACATCAACACCACCTCCCACTACCAGACTTCTCTGACACCATCCCCCACCACCAGACTTCTCTGACACCATCCCCCCACCACTGACACCACCAGACTTCTGACACCATCCCCCACCACTGACACCAGCCCCTACAATTGACAGCACCTGCCTCCCCTGACACCATTTTGTCATCCCACAACCCTTCCTGGGGACTGGTCAAGTCGTATACTGCAATTTCGGATACCGGGCTAGAAACAACTTCGTTCACTGAGAAGTTTGTACATACAAACCATTCCGTTCGTATATGCGCTGGTTTGTGTTCGCTGTTGTTCTCGTCTGAATAAATATATGGCACTTGTTCATATAATTAGCGCTTCCATTATTAGAATTATTTATCCATTATTAGAATAACAAGGTGCAAACCATACCCCCTTACAGTTGAAATCTATTTATTTATATACAAGAAGGTACATTGGGTTGCGAGAGTACATAACATATATTAAGAGGTACATTGTAGCAAGATTTGAGATTAAAGGATTTAAGACTAACACGTTTAGAAACAAGGCGCCCCCGAAGGAGGCTATTATTTGTTATGCACCCCATACTCAACCAGTAAGTAGTGGAGCAAAACATAGATTACATGGTCATAAAGTCTTAATCAGACCAATTCAATTCATGGTACAAGAATTCAACCAACTACGAACCACTTAGTTTGATGAAAGGGAGCAGTAGAACAACAGAAGTACACTTACATCGCATCAGGCTTGGATACCCATGTGCATGGGAAATAGGCTTACAGGTTCCGGAAGATGAGAGGAAATGTCAACACTGTGGAGAAATGCCCGTCAGACCACTGGAACATTATCTAACACAGTGCACAGTCACAAACCCATTAAGATTTCAACTTAGATTCAACAGAGCAGAAGAAGTTGTTAAACACATATGGCAAAATCTTACTGAAGCGATCATACGAGTCATAAATACTCATACTCCACCCATGTAAAACAGAAACAAGCAACACTTAGTGGGCCAGCCAGAGGCTTAGGGCCCGCGCAGGAATATCCCTG